ATATATATATTAACTTCATCTTTTTTTTTTTTTTTTATCTTTCCATATGTAATGTTATCACTTTATCAGTTAAAAATGTCTCGAGCCAGTTGAGCCTGATTCGGACCTCATCAAAGTTTACTGTCTGTCAAGTTAGGCTTTATATAGAACAATATTAGGTTAGCAAAGATATTAGATTCAAAATTTAATTAACTTGTGTAAAAGTATTTTAGGTCAGGATAGAAATAAATTAGATGATGTTGAAGGTCTATGACCCAATTTGCAATATATCTAACTTGTTAATTAAGTTAAACTAAGATGTTTTCTGATTCATTTTTCTAAAACAAAAATCCTCTATTCTTCCAATTAGGTTTTAAAGAAAGTAGAAAATTTATTTGTTAGACTATTTTCATTATCTTTTTAATTATTTAAGTTTTACTTGGTTTTCTTTCTCCATTAAAGAAAAAGAAAAACTTAAAACTGAAATCAAACAATACTTTAAATTTTAGGTTATCCAGAAAGAAAGAAAAAAAAAAGCCTAGTAGCCATTGTGTTCAAGAATAAACAAGTCAAGCATGTTTAACAAAATCTTAATGTTAGGTAAATAGGTGTGAATCATACTTTCTGTTCAAGAAACAAGTCAAACAAGTTTAACAAAATATATGTAGTTGGAGGGGTTATTTGAAAAAAAGTTTGTGTGTTTTAAATGTTAGGATTAGGAGGTGGTTAAAATTCCTCTTAGATATCTTTTTTCCCCTTTTAATGTTGAGCAATTCGGAGGGAATTGAAGTTTTTAAAATAATTGAATTATAGTATCCACAATTTAATGATTTTATTAGTCTATTTTAAAGGTATAATAAATAATAAATTATTTCATTTCCACAGCTCCTCTTTTTTTTTTTCTTTTTTTTTGAATCAAATATTATTTAAGGAAATTTTTTTATTTATACTCTATATTAATAATCTAAGTAATACTAGACTTTACCTTTTTAAATAAAGTTTGTAGTTCGAATTTTGTGTGTTTAAAATGGACTTCTACTAAAAATATCAGTGATGTTAATCTTTATTGATATATTAAAAAACAAAAATAAAATAATAAAAAAAATATGACCACAAGGGAATAAATACTAGAGAAAAAAGAAATAGGTCTACTTTATCCATATAAGACAGATAGAAGAATTTTTCTGGTAGATGGCTTCCCTTATAATTTAAAGTCTCTTGTGGTTCACAACGTGAAATTAATGAATTGCTTTTATTTCTGCTTTGGTCCCATGTCATGCATGAACTTTAGGATATGCCAAGTCAACCCTGTTGAATACTGATATTTTGGTTTAATGTAACTGTCATATGATATGCACACCACATGCAACCCCTATTAAGTTTAAATTACACTAAATTCCCTCAAAGTTTGCTAAAATTACACACTCTACCTTTTTCATCTCTATACTAATCTCATTCATTATTAAAAAAATATATATTACATTCACATCTTTTAGAAATTACACTAACTTCTACATTATTTAAGAAACATAATGCTGTGTTTTTGAATGAGTATCAATGTAATATACTCTACTTTTTGTGATTTCTGATTGGTCAAAACAATAATTTTTTTATACTAATGGGAAATTAAATTAAATTTATAAATATTTAGATGAGAGTAATATACATAAAATTTTGGTATTATAAGATCACTCAAAAATTTCAAAGTAGGATATGTATAC